AATCGGCTGAGAGAGAACTCTTCCTTTTTCTTAAGCGTTGAGTCGTTATCAATAGGGCTACGTGAATAGAATAAGATATTTAGCTACTTTAATTTCTTTATATTTACTACGTTGCGTAGATCCTTAATAATTCTCAACGCTTATCTATTACGTAGTGGTACTGTTGAGCTAGTAGTAGCTATATACGATTCTAGGAAGACCCCTAAAAACCATCCTTACTAGGGCCGAACTATCTAGGCTTAAAAGAGAAAGAACACGGCGAGAATAAATAGACCGAATCCATTATCTACGGAGAGGGAGTACTCTCAGTGTGGAATAGAGATTAATGCAAGAGACTACAGTATATTCTCGAAGTCTCCCACCTAAATCGAGTGGGAATAATAAGCGACTAGCCATAGATAATTTAGCTAGCTACGCGAAAATCTTTAAGGCGGACTCCCCGAAGTATTTTAATGAGAATAGTTACTAGGCCTTAACTAAGTTTATTATGGGCATCGAGATATATTTCGAGTCCTACCACTAAGATCTAATAGACCCTAAGGTGGCTAAGTAGGCCATCTAAACGGCGGCAACCTAACTAGATGAAGAGCCTCGTTAGATATATTATAGACAACGCAACGTGCCCGCCAATTAGGAGAAATTCCTTATGTTCCTTCGAGACACCATTAAAGACCCTTAAACTCGCACTTTTAAGGCCACTTATACTACTTAATTTAGAAAGTAATGAAAAGAACAGAGTGTTCGTTAATACTTACATAAACTAAAGTAAGTAGAGACCGAGGTGAAGGCATTAAGGCTCACGGAAGTCGAGTAAAAGATATAGCGTTTCCTTCATAGTCTACAGCCCAATATTCGTAACGCAGTTATAGTAGAGCTATAGAAGGTACGTCTTAATAGAAATACTATCCTTACGGCCGCCTATCGCCATGAGATACGTTTCGCGAATAAGCAAAAGAATAAGACTAAGAAGAAGAATACTTTAGGAAAAAGAAATGAGCTCCTAAAGTAAAAGACATCGATGGCTATAATAGGAAGTGAGAATAGAACTTCTCATCCGAATCGGAAGAGAAAAAATATATTTAGTTCGCTAAACGTATCAACTAAGTCTAAAGCTAAGTAGAGAGAAAAATTAACGTTCTCGTTTATTCCTAAGTACTATAATTACCATAAGAAAGGATATTTAGTACGGAATTACTCTGAAAAGAGTATAAAAAAATAGATACTAATATGGTAAACGTAGCTACCGCATTAGAGTATATTTAGTCTGCGAGACACGACGCATTGGAGTAACGCTGTGTAAGCATTTAAGTAATAGTCCGAGTAAAGGGCGAGAAGCATCGATTACGGGCCCTTATGAACTATGGAATATAGAACGACTTCATCTTATAAATAACTATTGTTAGGCTTAGTTTAAAAGGCGTTCCACCAGATATATTTAGAAAGACTATGAATGAACGGTAGATCACCATTTACGACCGTTACAGCCTCGAGATTTAGGCCATTAATGACCGGGGAAGGACTACTAAGGCTAGACTTAATTTATTATCTACGAATATCGAGGGATTCGATATAATACTCGGTATACGCTGGCTCAAAGCAATCAATTCCGACATCAATTTTAGAGATAGTACCTAGGTAGTGAGAGATTTAAACCGCTAAATTCGAATTAATATAATCACAGCGCAAGAGCTTATTTAAGAGAAGAATAAAATCTACATTATGTAATATTAACCTTTAAAGAAATCTCAAAGAGTTTCTTACCCGAATCGAATGGGGTAGTGTTTCACCCGTCTCCGAACTCTCGCATTAAGTAAGGACGAAGATATATCTTCTCTTTATACTAGCTATAGCGACGTAATATTAGATTCGGGCGAGACTTAAATTCCATTAGTGTCGAGGGTAGAGTATATAATTAATCTTACGCTAGGCACAATAGCACCCTATAGGCCTATCTACCCTTTAAGTGATAGAGAACTCAAGGCTCTAAGAGAATACCTCGACAATATATTAATGAAAGAATGGATTCGACGAAGTATCTCACCTACTAAGGCTCTCATTTTATTTATTCTAAAGAAAGACGAAGAACTTCGCCTCTATATGAACTATAGAGGGCTAAATAAGGTCACGATTAAGAACCGTTATTCATTGCCCTTAATATCTAAGATCCTTAATCGCCTAGTAGGAGCAAAACTCTTCATAAAGCTAGATCTACGAGATACTTACCATAGGATTCCCATTAAGATAGAGAACCAGTGGAAAATAGCATTCCGCATTAGATATGGGTAGTTCGAGTACTTAGTGATACCTTTTAAGCTGACGAATACCTCAGCTACTTTCTAGGTATACGTAGACGAGTCTCTAAAGAGCTTATTAGACGTTTTCTACATTGCATACATGGACGATATCCTAATCTTTAGTAGAATAGAGAAAGAATATAAGAATCATATTAAATAAGTGCTCGAAAGACTCCGAAAATCACGGCTTTTCATTAAACTCAGTAAATGCGAGTTTTATACAAGAGAAGTAGCATTCCTAGGCTTCATCGTTAATAAGGAAGGAGTTTCAATGGATCCTTAGAGAGTAATAGCTATTCGAGAATAACTTACCCTCTAGATATTTAGAAATATTTAAATATTTTTAGAGTTTACTAATTTCTATAGGGACTTCATCCGTAATTTCTTAAGAGTAGTGACGCTAATTATAGATCTACTAAAAGAAATAAAGTATAGCGTAAAGAAGAGCTCTTTAGAATGAACCCTAAAAGTAGATAAGTATTAGATATAGCCTTAAAGGCCCGCGAGCAGAACGTAGAATAAACTAAGAAGAAAGCTCAACCGAATAAGGTAGCCTCGGGAAGCAAGGCTAAAAGAAGTCACGTAATATCTAGAATAGAAAAGAAGTAGTCTATTAACATATTGAACTAAAACATATCAATATACTAACATACCGACCCACATTACTCCATACGGAAAGCCCATACAAGTATATAGCTACGCTCATTTCCCCTAGATAGCTTACACTCTCTTCGTAGCCAACTTATATTAACTATTAAACTTATAGTTCTTAGTGATAAGTAACTTCTTATACCTTACGTTCTTCCTAATTAGTTCATACTATTAGAATTATTACTAGAAACTCTAACCTAGTTAGGCCCCGGTAGAAACCTTAACACTTTAGCTACCACCCTTATTATAGAGAACGACCCCTATAAGCAGTTAAGAAAGACCCGACCGACCTATCTCGCCTATTAACGAACTAGTACGACGTATAGCACGACTATCCCTTAACGACACTATATCTACTACTACTAGTACCCCGAGGCTAATACCGAGCACCTTAAGAACGGCAACAACTACCGCTACGCCAGCACCAGTGATTAAGAGAAAGATTAATAATCCATCTAAGTCTTTTAACGACGTAGAATCTAAACTTATACTCTTTATTCACTATACGGATTTATATATTCTAATGAACTTCACTAACTTCTAAAATAACTTACAGAAAATACTCTTCATAGGAAGTTACTTCGAAAATAATACCGAGACTTAGCTTAGACTCTTCGTTAAGAACTATATTAAGAACGAAGCGAATAACAGAGAGAACGAGACTATTAGTCTCTTCGCTACGTTTACGGAATTTAAAGAAATAATAAAACTAATATTCGGAGCGAAAGATAAAAAAAAGAAAACTTAAAAGAAAATAGTGAGCCTTCGATAAACTAAGTTTATTTAAGAATATATAACTAAGTTTAGAACGCTAAATACGAAGCTTAACTAATAAGATAACATTATCATCTCTATCTTTCGAGAGAGATTAAAGCCGAAAATTAAGTGAGAACTTCGATATTTAGAGAAGAAACTACTAAAGAAATAAATAGCTACGGCTATTAAGAAAGATAACGATATTAAAGAATACCACCAATATAAGCGCCCTAATATCACTCGAAAAATCTATACAATAAGAGCTTAACGAGCTAATACTTAGAAAAGGCGCGAACTCTATTACGAGCTATAATCTATAAATCTAGACTAAGCGTAAAAAAGACATAATAATAATAGAGAAAATAGAAAAGAGAAAATCGATCCTAGAAAAGAAAAAGAAACGACTTATTATAGTTACGGTAAGCTAGATCATTACGCGAAAGATTATAAAGATAAGAAAAAGTAGATTATAGCTGCCGAAAAGAGACCTAAAACTAAGAAAATAGCGACGATCATCTCTAAAGCTAATATAGTAGAAGAAGAAATAGTAATAGTCGAAGAGAGCATCGATAGTGAGAAAGCGATATTAATAGCGATTATATCTACGCGTATATATATCCGAACTAAATATTAAGTAAGAAGAATATATTTAGACCCCTACTATACTTTAACACTATTAAAATATAGCCATACTATATACGAACTAAGGAACCCCCCTTCTAAAATCGAAATAACCTTTAGTATAAGAGTCTACTAGATCGATGAATACTCATAGAAAAGAAGTTATCTAAACTTTATTTATACCCATTAAGAAGGCGACCCGAACATCTTAAACGTCTATATATCGAAAGTAGACCCGGAAGTACTAAGAAAATATAATATAATTAATTCGTAATATAACTTCGACCTAGATCTTAGTGAAGAACCGAAGACCTAGTATAAGAAAGAACTAAAATCTCTTATATAAAAAGAATTAAAATAAATTCTCTAAGAAGTAGTAGAAAGAATTAGAGTAAGAATCTAATAAACTTAGAAATTAATA